ATATAGACTTTATATGTAGACTTTAGAAAATGATCAATATGTTTTAAAGATTAAGTCATCACCCATCCGGAATTGAGGCAAGGATTGAGGCGGCATTTAATAATGTTTAACCAAATGAAATAACGGAAGCCACTCAATCAGTTTTAGACTGGTTGAAAATGGTAAACATATCAAATATCTCTATAAATTATGACATATATTTATTGTACTTTTCCAAAGCTTACGTGATTAACTATAAAAATAAAAACAAAAACATTTTTTTTTGTGATTATTTCAAAAACTATAAGAGATGGGTTTAGGTCATGTTGATAAAAGTCCTTCTACAAATTGATGGACTTTTGATTGCCGTTGAGAAAATGGAGTCATTTCATTAAAAAAAAAACTGAGTTACAGCTGTTTGTTAAAGATCATTTTCAAAAAATCACACCACATATGCAATTTGAAGTTGACAATTTTGAAAATTCTAGAAAATTCTTTGAACCTTTGGTTATCGAACGCAAAAAAAAATATTCACTTATCACAAAGGGTTCAAGAACTGTGATGTTTTAAATGAACCTCTGCAAATGAAAATTTAGAATATTTAGCATTCTCAATTTTTAGCAAGAAATTTACTAGAATACAAAATAAACATGAATGAGAAAGAACCTCGGAAAGAATGCAATTAAACTAGTGTCTTGTGCATCGTTTTTGAGAAACGAGTTGAAAAAGTAACAGTTTTGAAACTAAAGCGCAAGAAGAATTTATAAAATGCATCAACTTTGAGCTCATTTCAATAAATTACACAAAATTTATTGCCAATTATCATAATACCTACTTGTATCTTTTGCTAAATAACTTTTTTCTGTATATACATCCTTTTTCATTAAAGTTTTTGTAGCAAGAACATCATTTTTGTCCACAACATTGTACTTACTTGCGGTGTGTTTCTATCAAAATTATTAGCACTGAATTCTGTCTTTAGACCTTAGGTAATGATGTCTGTCCTCAGGTATTGAATTATAGCGCTTTCAAAGAACAAACCGGCACACAAGATTCATAAAAGTCAAAATTTTGACAACATCTCAATTTGAAAACATATCCATATTTTTTAACAACATTTCTAGGCACAAAAACAAAGAGCAAACAAAATTTGTGGCTCTGGAGACAAGCTGGTATAATTGTTTTCATATTAATGTACATTGAGGTAATCGTTGAGAGGAGTCATTTTAAGGTGGCATCAGTGCGAAAATTTAAACAATTCCAATCTAAATCTTCTCTAAAAATTATTTTCTCAAATAAATATGTGTACCCCAGTTTTTGAGGTAGCAAAAATAATTAAAATGAACAACGTAATTTGTCATTATTAATATGATTAAATTTGTTCTGAATGACATTAATGACACTCTTTGTGTGAATCGGCTTTTAAATTAAAGCTGCATTTAGACTTCTACAACCTACTTGATGCACATTGATATGAAAAAGAGTATACCAACTTTTTCACCAATATTTTGACTTGGTAAATTCTGTTTTATTTGCATTATGCAATTATTCTGTTTCTATTTGCATTCAAATTACAATATTTATATGAAGTGGAGTTGTCGGAGGCCAGTTTACACTAGAAAAATGCACTGTCCCGTTTATTTATGTCCACTATTGTAATTCACTTGCTACCGCTCGTGAATCACACATTTTTCACTCACTGGTAAACTTTAAGTTTTCTTTACTTGTAAAACAATCTACTATTATTAGCAGCAAAAGCAATACGGTGGTATTTGTTATTGCACAAAAATTTCTCAAAATTTTACACCCTCTGTTCAATACACAACTGACACCGGTACAATAAAGAACAATCCAATTACATCCAATCGCAATGTAAGCGTTTTTGACCCCATAGATATGTATTAAAAGTTTTATTTTTACATAGAGTCAGCCCTGAAAGATTGTCAGTGGAATTCTGACACATCCTGTATAATAATTGTACTGAGGACATTATTAAATGTTTATGGTCCCAAAGGTGACACGTTTGCAAGATCTAGCGCCTTCGCCCGAAAAAAAATTTAAACTCAGATACCTACCCACTTACGACGAATACTACAACGCAGTAACGAAAAAAAAAATGTGTAGAAGTTCGACCATGCAAATATGTAGATACTATTTACTGACATACGTTGCGTACGTATCCATTTGATCGCGGTTTTTATCTTCCGAATACATTAAATTAAAATGAAATGTGTCGATAACAATAGAATAAAATTTAAATACATATTTATCATTCGACATTTAATAATCATATTCAAGAGGATGAAAAAGCGTGTAATGCTCAAAAAAAATTTATTCAAACAAGTATTTACTAAGTAAAAGCTTTAGGTACTTGCAATACTACTTACCAGTCTTGCACGCTGTTGAAAGACTCTTCGTTCGTTATATCATACATAAGAATAAAACCCATGGCGCCTCTGTAATAAGCAGTCGTGATCGTCCTGTATCTCTCCTGTCCGGCAGTATCCTTCCAAAACAAACTCATTTAGACCAAAAACGTCTCGCAATCAAGATAATACTCACCCATATCTGTAACTTGACACGTTTGTCATGTCTAAAAACCGTTTTGACCTTAAAATCGATTCCAACAGTACTGACGAAAGCCGACGTGAAACTGTCATCAGCGTATCGAAACAAGAACGAGGTCTTCCCTACAGAACTGTTTCCAATGATAAGCAGTTTGAACATGTAATCGAAATTCTGATCTGCAGCGTCTTTTTGCCATTTCGGGTCTGCTCCGGCCATCTGAAAAAAACGACAATAAAAGAAATGATGAAATGACGAGATTCACAAGCGCTGTTTGTTGACGTGACTTACGTAACCTAAGGGTATTTCCACCCAAGAAAGAAGCCTCGATTGCCGTTTGCGAAGCTCGAAAGAATGGTCACCTAATAGAAAGTTTGGAAACTTGAAAACTTGACGCGGCCAAGTTGTAATACTTGTAATGCATGGAAGTTTTATTTACCCGCTTTCGGCATTGTGGTGGTTCGGCGACGAGGCTTTAGTAACTGACATCAAAATTAAAACATTTTGCGATAAGTTACTCCTGTGATAAAGTTATCGTACTTGGTTAACCTACTTCCTTTTACAAAACTAAATACTAACCGAAACCTTTCGATCCATTGACAAAGTAATAAAATACTCGCAGAAGTGGTATTAAAACTGATAATAGCAACTTTATACTGATTACATGATAGCAAGTTAAATGTTCCAGGTAATTAATAAGAAAAAACAGTTTGAACAGTATTGTTACCTGGAATGATAAAACTACAGTAAATATCACACATGTGAAGGCCAGCTTCTACTTCGGTTTTTAATTTAAAAGCTTACTTTTATCGATTGACTTCAGCCTCTTTGTTTTTATAACAGGGGAATGTGATAAATCTGAGTAGTTTGTACGTAAGAGCAATCACTGTAAATGTAAAAAAATTAAATTACCTCTGAATTGTCAATAGAGTTCAATAAAGCTATAAAGGAATAACGAGCAATAAATTTGTATGGTAATTTGTTAAAATACATAACACCGAGAATACAGTAAAAAGCTCACAAAAGCTCAATAAAACCCTTTATGTAAAATTCAGTGTTGCAGTAAATGACACAGTCTTGCCGCAAAGAGATTTTTTTCACATGTGAGTTTTACATTAATAAACCCATTTATTAGGTTTATGTGTAAACTTCCAAAAAACTCAATCATGACGTAGGATATCAAAGTTTGAAAACATCTGTTGTAAAGTTGCACCAAATTAACAAAAGTATTCCAACCCTTATCAATCTATTTTGAACTCGTTTATCCGGGATGATTAAACTTCGACAAGTGGCCAATTAATGTTAAATCGATCGCGAAACATTCTTAATCCGTGTACTAATTAAAGTTGCATAATAAAAAACAATTACGCAGTTGATCTGTTTTCCTGCCCCTTATCAAACAAAGGTCATCGTGAAAATCGTCCTAGAAATTTTGTTAAAACTGAGTAAACAAGTAGACAAATTCAACAAGACAACTCGTTTGAAGCAATCAAGACAAAAACGTACTCACCTCGATAAGCTTTTAATCAAACCCTCAAAACTTTGTCCTCTGGAACACGGGTAGTTTATGTAGAAGACTTCCACACACTAATTTAGCGTTTATAACCCGTTTTAATATGAAAACAATTGAATGTGTTTTTATTACTGTATTCTATGGTGGTTGAGCTTTCGACTGCCTCAACCGGGAATCGATCAGCTGGAAGTACACTCCCCAGAGTCAACAAAGCACTCCTGAAATTTTCAAAATCGATATTCCGTGGAAGCTTGTCGCAAGCGGCATCTTTATGATAGGTGTAATGTTTCAGGAAAGCTTTAAGTCGCCCGGAAGAAAGCTTTTTAAAAAGAGCGGCAGTAATTAAATTCCGGTCGACGAGAACAGTCTCTGGTAAACTGCTGGGTTCAAATTGGATTCCTGCGGCGATTGGTCGTGACAGTTTGTTATCAGTATGTCACGATTTACTGCGGTTTTGTTTTGAAAGGGACTGTATTGAAAAGAGCGCATGACGTCAAATAGCGTCGATAATGGGCGTCAAAAGCAGACGCCACTGTTGACGACATCTTGTGGAAGAGATGGCCTTCATAAACAGAAAACTGTGCACGAAATGCTTTTAAATAAATAATTTCCAATTATAGTGGGTCCAAAAATAAAAGCTAATCTTCAGATACTGTATTCAAGGGCACTGATATCAAATAAATATTCATATTCCCTTCATTAATTAAAAACATCAAGTCATAAAAACACAATATAATGGCAGAATGTAGAAGCGTAACCGAGACACATTTTTTTCTAATATAATTAATATCATTAACACTATACTGCCAAAGGAATTCAATATTTACGATCCAAATTTCCACAAAACCTTTAATAGTGCATTATGTAACTAGTGCTATAAACGCCATTAGAGAAGTTTACACACGTGTTACATACTATACTTTTTCTACGACTACCACAACAAAATTTGCTTAAATTAAAAATTAAATTAAATGACAGAAAACTAACTTCAGCCCATGACAAATACGACAGTTAGCAACGTAACAAATACGCATAGTAGTCACGGCTTGTCAAAATGTATAAAAAAAGTCACTTAGCGTCATGGAAACATACAGGGTGCGCCAGAACTCGCGCCCCAGAGAAAATTTTCAAGTAATGTAAGATACCAGGAACATGAAAAAAATGTTTAAAAAATTCTGTGTCAAAAAATTTTGACATTTATTTTTTGACATTTGACATCTATTTAATGATACTGATGATCTTGTATATGTTTTTTTACAATTATTTAGTAAAGGGACAAAAATATTGCCAATAAAAAAAAAACTTGGAAAATTATTTTTGCAACAGAAATAAATAGTGTTAAAGTGCAAATTTTAAACCTTCATAATTTCGAAATTTTTATAGATAAAATTTTTTTTACATTTTTTCCATGTTCCTGGTATCTTACCTTACTTGAAAATTTTCTTTTTTTTTTCTCTGAGGCGCGAGTTCTGGCGCACCCTGTTACGATAATCCGTGTTTTAGATGTGGAAGTAGAAAAAATATTTATCCACACCATCGCCGTCTTGTTAGAAATAATCTTTTTCTAGCCTGGGCATTTTTTGAATTCATCTGATTCCCATTGGCGCTTTAATCTGGGGAAATTTTTTGATACATCCAGTTTTTTAGCTTAAAGTGTTCAACCTCATAATATCAATTCTCCCTGGGGTATCTTGTTTTGTTGTATCCTTCTTTCGCCACTTTTATTAATTGCGTTATTTTTCGTTAATAATTAAAAATCATTCCGTTTTTCCTTAGTAACCCCCGTACTAAGAAACAACTCGGAATCACCACTCTAATGTATTTTTTACGAAATGCCCAGGCGGGATCCACTAAGAAGGCGGTGATCCTCACAAACTACGAAATGAAAGTTTCGCACAATTATAGGTTGAAAATACTACTAAATCCACAAACAGTAAATAAATCCCTCGTTTCTTGTCCACTAGTCGCAATAAGCGACATCTGTCTAACCACATAAGCCCTGCTAGCAGAAAACTGTGTTCCTAAAGCAGCGGGAACGTGTTCTAAATCGGACATCCTGGACAGCTTTTTCGACATGAAATGAAATTATCGATTTCCCGTTATTACTGTTTAATGCGATTAATATCGTTCTTTGCCAGCTGAAGACAGCAAGAATTTTGGCAATATCAAAAAACACATCGAATTTTTCCTAGACTTCTAGAGCATTCAAGCTTCCATCTCTTTCGTTTTTATACTCCTCAGAAACGTAGGTATACATATAACAATTGAAGTGAAACAGGACTAGTCAGCAAACATCCATCCTTCGATCGAACTGGAAGGTCGCATAAATAATAAAATAATCTTTCAAAAATTTATAAGCAACTAAAACAAATTTGACTTATAGAGGTCGTGCCAGCACATCACGAAAATCTTTTCAAGTGACACGAGTGTGTAATAGCGGACAAAATTAATTATTGTTCGTGTTGTCGTTAGTAAATATAGTAAAAGGTGAGCTCAGTGTTTTTCAGTTCAGAAACTGAAGCAATATTTCCTTTTCTTTTCGGATTCTTTTAATTTGATTGGAACAGTTCTGTTTCTCTTTTTCGTTATCTTGGAAGTTTCCTGCGCCTTGATTTATTTCCTTTTGCGTAAAGTTTTGGTCTTCGAAATATAACATAACAGCAGATGCGAAAAATCAACTTGGAAAGAGCGTGCAACGGAATTTGATAATATTCTCTCGCTTTTAAACTTAGAACGAACGTTTAATATCCATACTTCGCTTTCAGCTGATAAATAGTAGTTGTACACTAGTGTAATAATGTGTGCAAGTAAATGTTTCATTTACTTACCACATTTATCAGGTCGATAAAAGTCGGGTATTTCAAGATAAAAGCCAGAACCACACTTCTGTTGTAACATTACGAATAAAATAGTTACAATCTCTTTGTACAAATTGAAAAATTGTTATAAGATGTAAACCAATGTAAATAAAATCTAGTCACGTCATGACAAAAAATTACATAATATAGTAAACATTATGAATAGAAATAGAATGTAATAAATAAGCCAATAATTTGACATGCCATTGTTACATGAAATAAAATAATGATCAGCATTTATAATCGGAAATGGTTTTCATAATTATTCGTGTCCACAAATAGCTATACACACCCTTCTTTCAATTTTTTATGTAGCAAATTTTTCAAAGTCAATTATAAATGATTGATGTTGGTTAATTACTAAGACAATCCAAAACAAAGACAAATTCTTAACAAAATCCAAGAATAAAATGTAACACAAAATATTAAATTGTTAATGCTTTGGTATAATTTAAAATTTTACTTTTTACAACATACTCCTAATACAGGATGTTTATAAATGCCTGGGTATCAAGTAACTTCTGGAATTTTTGTTAAATTTCCTGTCTTGTGATGACTATAGGTACACATACATGGAATCGTTGTTTCCATTTTCTTCTTCTTTATTTTCGGTCATTTGCATAAAGTGTGGTCTCAATTCAGTTAAACGTTAGACTTAGACTTGATAGTTGGAATTTGCACTACTTGAAACAATTTTAGTCTAGTCTTGTGAATTTAGTCCATAATCTGCCAAAGTCACATCTACCAAGATTTGAAATGCACCTGTGTTTATTGGTTTGTGAAACCCTGTACTCAAAACAAACACTGTACAGAACACTTGAACACCAGCAGAAAGAAAGCAAAACGTCTTCACAAACTTTTAAGTGAGAAATCATCATCTTCAAATAATCCAATAAAGGATCTCACAGAGTCTTTTTAAAAATGATACGGATCCAATATCGTTCCCAAAGTTAATTTTCGCTGTATTTTTCACATGAATCCTATCTGCGTCTGGGGCTAAACCATCGCTCTTCCTGCAGAAGCCACGATATTTAAAAGTAGGCAAGTCTTTGTCAGCTGATGCGTGCTGCCTGTTCAGTGTCTAATTCCATTTCACGACACTTGGTTTTCGATGAAAAATTCTCAAAAGCACAGCATAATTGTACAAACGACGAAACTTTTTACAGGCGAGCATTAAAATAACCTTACTTTTTTAATTTAACCTGTGGATACATTTAAAAATCATCGTGTGATAACGATGTGGAGCCCTCCAAGAAAGCTTTATCGGACTTCCCGACACTCTCCACGGATAAACGTTAAATTTCACTTAACAAACACTCAATTGTACTCATTTCATCTTTTATTTAACCGATAAATTTAAGGGATTGAAAGTGTTGAATTCAGAATATCAGTCAAGCGGCAAAGACATGTTGACATAATTTGCAAAGCCAACTTGATGCCCAGGCAATTATAAACAGCCCTGTATAAATTAATATAAATTTGTGATTGTGATATATTGATTTCAAAAAGAAATGTTATTTGGTTTTCAATTAAACAATATAAAATCTTACTCTAGTTACTCAATAATCGAACTAGATTACTTCGTAAACAATATTGCAATTTCGAGCTTTTTGACTATTTAAAAACATCTTTGACAAATGAGAGTTCCAGTCTTTTTATGAATCATGATAATTAATTCAAAGTGTCGCCACCAAAGATAACATTTCAATAAAAATTTAACTCGTGTAAACTCAATAAAATAGAAACGTAATTTAATACTTTATAACCTTTTTAAACAACTTTTGTGTAAATATGTGTGAGAAGTTTATTCTTTACTTTGCAGCTTCTCAACTTCCATCTCTGAGTTGTTCCAAGTATATAAGACACATTCGTTTAAGATATGCTTACATGTTGATAAATGTAGATAAATCCATGTGCTTGGTAAACTATATCTGGTATTATCTTTTATGTATAATCCAAAGCCCAACTTATCTACTCATGTGACAGCGGAGTGCAATTCCCATTAGAACAGAATTTCATTCCGCATAAGTTTTGTGAGCTTGGATATAAGTCTATCGACACTTTATCTCACGAATTAATGAAATTTAACACTTAGTTAACTTTAGTTTAACTTTAAATAACGAGATAAGTTGTAAAATGAAGTTCGGGTTGGGTTTCCGCGTCGTTTTCTCACACTGCTCACAAAAAATATTTCAGACGTTTGTATTATTGAAATACTTTAGTGTTTTTATGAAGCCACGTATTTCGTAATGTAGTCACGAAGCGTCTTAGACTATTACAAAGAGAATTTATTTCAACTAAAATTTTGATGACGTCAAATGGAAACATCGCCTTCAAAAAGAATTGCAAAAGATGGGAAAACTCTTCATTTTTAGCGCAAGGTAAGCGTAAAAACCGCCAACATTGCAGCTCATAAAATTAACGCAAAAAACCACAATCAACTAGGAGAAAAATACCCTTAATGGTTCTAATTTAAGTATTAAAAATTCTGAAATGAAAGTAAGAATGCTTTAAAAGGGTGCTATTTAACCTTTTATATCTTTTCCCGGCACCCATTTACTTCAAGCATTCGCATCAAATGTTTCCGATTTTATTGCCTCGCTAACAATGCCGGACCTGTTTTTATATCGAAAAATCTACTAAAAGCATCAGAAATACAAATCTGAATAAATTTGGCAAGGCGTTAAGCGTTTTCTCTAATCGATTAAGTAAATTCAAGACGATTTGACGATGATTGAGTACGAAACATGTCATCTCAAGTTTGATGTCTGTCGTAAAGTGATAACAAGAATGCTCTCCGATTTTAATTACAAAATCCGCTTCAACATTTGGCTCCAATTGAAAAAAAATCGTCTAGGGTCATTCTATAAGTATTCCTGGGTATCAAGCCAAAAATGTTTCATCCAAGTTATAATTGCGATGACGCTGAATTTTCCACAGGAGTTTGACGTGTCCATCAAACTTTTTAATAATTGGTTGTTTGGCGTTCCCCTTGTTTATAAAAATTTTCGCCAAATTGCTTAAACATAATCCGCGATCCCAGATTACAAAAATAAAATTATTTATGAGTTGTCAGTGAGCTGAGTTGTCTATTTGCTGTTTTATCTCTGACAAGTCTTTCACCAAACGGAAACTCCTCCCATTATTGTAAATGCGTCCTCTTCGGGTAGGCCCAGATCTTGGAAGGGAAAAGGATTTAATTAGAGTTATCTTGCGTTATCTTTGTGATAAGAGTACAGCGACATGCGCGTCATCGTCCTGACAGGTAATGCAAAGACGCGTTGAACCTGTACGATACCGACGCCTGTAGTTTTCAGTAGTCAGTATAGCTCCGGCAGCGGACGGAAATAACCGCGTCCTGGGCGTCGCGACGCCCGCGCTCGTGTTGAACACAGTGTGTGATAGTATGAGTGCGCGATGCCTTAGGTAGGTACGACCGTCATCCGAAACTTGGTGTTTTTGAAAGAGTATAAATACCTGAAGGTTTCCCCAATGATCGCTCATTTTTTCTCGTCCACAATTCCCCAAAATAAACTTTTCAACTGTTCACTAACTTCCGAGGGAACTGTAACAAAACCGAAAAATTATGTAATATTTTTCCGGTGACGGTTTTTCAGCTTTCATGTGTTCGATACCGGATTTACCTCATGTACAAGAAAGAAAGAAAATCGGTTTAGGGAAATTACATTCGCGCTTTGTGTCAGTAAATTTAATGCAAACTGGAAAATTTGTGGTTCAAAAATCAAAATTCAATTTTCCAACTTGATAACTTTTTCATTTGGGGTTGGAATGATAAATCGGTCTTTCAAAGATTGTTCTTTGCGTGTAATGGAGCCAGGAGGATAAACACGACACCAAATGAATAAAAGAACTCGCTATCGAATATTATCGCGTTATTTACTCCATCATCAAATTTCCTTTTTATTTTTTTATATTTGTTTCAGAGATGATAAAAATGAATAATAACTTCATTATTGATCGTACAATTTTACAGAAGACTTCGTAAAAAGACTTTTCTTACGGTAATTGAATGCGACATAAAAGCAAACTATATAGGTAAATAATAAACATAAAATTTTAGTAGAACCGTAAAGTACTAAAATATCCGCAAAGTGCCCATTGAAAACATTGCTAAATTTATTTGTAAGAAAAATATTATTGTTGCAAGCACACATTCTGTTGTGTGTCAAAAAGGTCGAACAAGCTTAAAGGTATAAAAATTCCAGCACTAAAGAGAAATAAAAATAACCGTATTTTTAGTTATTGGACATTCTTAAATGTGTAACACCCGCTTGGGGTCCATCAGAAGACCGGGTCTTCAATAATAAATTCTTCTTACTAATTCTTCAACAATCTATAAAATTGCTCTAAGTAAATATTTACAAAATTTTGCCGCTCAACTAAAGGAAACTAATAAAATGAATTATTTTTTAATAAATCAGAAAATCGGATTTCATGTATCCAACATAGCAACATTTAAATTACCTTAATTGTCATGTTACCAGAGAAACAAATAGTACTTTGTGAATATATTAAGATCTGACAATTTCTTGCAAATTAAAAAAAACGTAATACCTTTTGAAAAATAAGTTTGTGTGCTAATGAATATAGTATAAACATTTGCTTAGCACTAAGAACAACGCAACAAATTAATTATTACTTAACGAAATTTTATTTTTTACAATGTTCTTACATCTCAATAGTAACAACAAAAAGGTGTTCTTGAACTGTGTTGTCGGTTCTTTTTTTATTATTTTAAGAGTGAGTTTTCGCTGAGAAGTAAATCGTCAGAGGACTCGTTTATACAGGGTGCGCCAGAACTCGCGCCCCAGAGAAAAATGCCATATAAAGTAAGATATCAGGAACTTGGAAAAAATGTTAAAAAATATTTTATCTATAAAAATTTCGAAGTTATGAGGGTTTAAAGTTTGCACTTTGACTCTATTTATTTCTGTTATAAAAATAATTTTCCAAGTTTTTTTGCTATAGCCTATTAAAAGAGGAAACAAGGAAGCTGTATCCTAAATTGTGACTCTGTTCATTTTTATTTGTGGCTTTTATAGGCAAAATATTTGTCCCTCTACTAAATAATTGTAAAAAAATTTATACAAGATCATTAGTATCCTTAAATAGATATAAAAAACGTCAAATATCAAAAAATAAACGTCAAAATTTTTTGACAAATAGAATTTTTTAAACATTTTTTCCATGTTCCTGGTATCTTACCTTACTTGAAAATTTTCTCTGGGGCGCGAGTTCTGGCGCACCCTGTATAAGCAAACAAATGCTGTCAATACACAAAGCTAAATTTTCTTTTTCACGTTCGTAAAAACCAAATAAAGAAACAATCAATATTCTACAAAAGTTCAAATTTAATTTAGTTTGAAACATTAAGCATTAAACACAACTCTTTCAATATCGTAAGAAAAATATTTTCGTATACGAATACTGTTTATCTACCACATAATGCTTGGAGGTATTTAGTTAATTTTAGTTTTACCATAAAGATGCTAAATATGTTACAAATATTTATTTCTTTAATTTCCGTAACATATACACATACACATACTATATTCTAATAATATATAATATTAGGGTCGTTCATATAATTTTGAACTAAACGATTTACCCTACATCTTTCATCAAATATTAAAATAATCCAATAACTTCTTTGATAGAAAAACTTTCTTAATGGAAACATTGTTTCTTTTATATTCTAAAAATCAGGAAAAGGTTTTTAGAACTTAGGTTTAATTTTAATTTAATAAAAGTTGTACAGAAATTTTAAAAAGTAATAGTACAGGTCTAAACAAGTCAAAGTAACTCCAATTGTCTTATCCCAATGTTTATTGATTCTGAGATATAAAAAGTGCAACCTCAAGTATATCACCGGAAAATTAATCAAAAAGTGCAATATTAACAAAGTTTTCATGATTACTTTATTCCAAAGTTTATATTGCTAATAGTTTTTAATATTGGAGGTACTGCTTCAACAAAATAGTATAGTACATATTATGATACGAGTTTTATAGGAAGCATTTTGTCGCACGCACGCAGAAGTAAGTGCGACAAAATGTCTTATAAACAAGATATCATACAGTATTTTTTCTACTTTGCACTTTTTTAAACAAAAAAGTTAAAATTCTGCGGCATTTGACAACATTGCAGGGTGGCTAGGTGGCCATGAAATAAATTGATCTGAAACGTCATTATTTTATTCGTAAAAATGAATTCCGAAGACGTTTTGCAATGTAATGTACGTCTCTAAAAATACAGATCTTGACGGCAAATACGATGACAAATTTACTCCCTGTGAAATCACGCCAAAATTGTTCAGTAAGTTGACGGCAAAACCTACCTAACCCCAAAAGTCTCACAAGTAGTAGTAAGTACTTGTTGTTTTACTTTGTCCTATGACCTAAAGGTTTGCTTAAGCATCACTAATTATAATGTTAATTATTATTTTCACCTTGCATTTAATATTTTTACTTACTTTACCTAATATTGTTACTTAGAAAAACTTAAATATATACAGCATTTGATTTAAAACTTAGCCTTTAATTTGTTTCCTAAAATATTACGGTGCGTTCACAACAAACTCATATACAGTATGTCCCCGTATTGAGTTTACAAAAATAAAAATAAATTTCTTTGATTTTACGTCAGAACTTCAATTAAAGTTTCATTGTTCTGACTCAGTGGAAAGAAAAGTTCATTTTTCTCTCGGTTTTGGGCTTGTAATTTTTTTCTATGCTTTTTAAGTTCCATCACTATTATGGTTTTAATTTTTTGACAAGGATATCACTTGGCAATTAACTAATTAATTGAATAATGAGTGTTCTTGTTAAAACATGACTTTGTTTTTTATCTTAAAACTGTTTCTTTCAGTTGGCATTTATTAAAATTATGTTATTCACAAACATTTCTGTTATTTAACTTGCGTAAACTCATTTGTTAAAGTGACATCTTTGTTAAAAAAATAAAACCGCCAATGTCATGTAATTTAAAACGCAGAGAAAAACGCAAAATCAAGAGAAAAATGATTTTTTCTTTCCAATGAGTCAGAATAATGAAGTTTTAATTTCAGATTTGCTCGTTTCAGGTGAAGCAAAAAAATATTTTTCCTTTGTAGTTTTGGCGTAAAATTAAAGTAAAGTTAAAATGTTTTTGCTTTTGTAAATTCAATCCAGGGAGACCCTGTAGTAGTCGCCGCCAACAAAGACGGCAAATTTAAAAAAAACAGCCGTTATATTGTCATCTTTTGTTCTCTCTTAACAAATATGACAATCACCCTGTAATTTTCAGTTTTTAATTAAAATTTTCTTCAATTTTTAATTTTGCGATGAGTAAAGTTCTTAATGAAATGAGGATTTTGTTCATTTTTAATTTTGATGAAAAAGTGTTTAATTATTTTTAAAACTGTAATAGAAGTGTTGCAATTTTTTCAATTAATTGTAAAAATTTTAAAATAAAATTATAATTGTCTAATTAAAATGCATGACATTGTGAACATTGCTGCTGACAAGCCTCAAAAAAGCGAGATACTTTATAATTTTGTCCTATTTAGTTATTTTGTTAGATTATCTAAAACCATAATTATTTGATATTGTTATTTAGAAACCTAATACCGTAGTAACATCTTGTCCGGATCGGTATATCGTATCTCGAGCGGAGGCAACATCTTTATTTTATGACGATAATGCGTGTCTTACAATTTACGATTGCACCCCATCGTAAAATACGTTTAACAGCACTTACGAAACATTTTTCTGTTGAACATGATCAAACAATTCGCCACTAAATTTGACGATAAAGTTAATTTCTAATATTCAAAAATCCATTTATATGAGAGAAGTTATTTCGAACGTGACGTTCTCGTTTTCATATTTTTACATATTAAGCGGAAATGGAAATTTTAGTATAAGATGTTTATACGCGAGTTTGATATCTGATACAATTATTTTTACAATTACGTTATAATTTCGTCGACAAAAGTCTGATCCGAACTAAATCAGCTTTGTTAAAAGAAAATTGATATTTCAAACTCTATGTACGGGTACAACAAAGGTTACGCGACTTCCTGAGGCATATTTTATTAATATACTCGTTTATATTAATTATGGCTAGGTTTTATCAAAAGTTTACCACCGTAAAGGCATTGTCGTTTAATAAGAAAACTACATAGTGCTTATTACATGGCCTTTAATTATCATTGAACACTCTTGGTAAAAAACACTTAGGTTTCTCAAAATCAGACTACATAATTTGTGTTAAAATCAGTCAATTAATTTTGGTAAAAAATATAAATATAAATCTATCTTGTCTATTTTAATTATGAGAAAAAAAATTATTTTTGAGGGAAATTATTCGAAATTTTAATTCCAACTTGCCTTTGCACAACAATCTGCAACCAAAACAAAATAAAT